GCAGTAAGTGAGAACTGAACCAGAGTTCTCTACAAGAGCAGTAAGTGTTCTTAATTGCTGAGCCATCTTTCTAACCCCTTCACTGAATGTCTTGTGTGTGTGTGTATATGTGTATGTATGTATGTATGTATGTATGTATGTAAGCTTTTCGTGAATTACATTTTCTCCCAGTACTGCTACATTTTCTTAGTAAGTACCAGTTCTTAATACATTTTTGATAGATTAAGTTGGAACTTTTTTTTGTAGTCTATGGTTTTCTTCATCTTTTTTTGAACATTTTACTTTAGCTTTGTTTCACATACCACTGATCAATGTTACCTTGTTTAATTTTATTATTGTTTTATGTGAATGGATAAATGTTTGCACATGTATCTGTCTCTCCAGTGCCTCCAGAGGTCAGAAGAGGGTGTAGGGTGCTGAGAATTGAACCTGGGTCCTATAGAAGAGCAGCCAGTGCTCTTATCTGCTGAGACATCTCTCCAGCACTGGGAGGAAGAAGCGGAGGATCATGGTTGACCGTTAGAGCTCAGCTTCAGTGCTGCGCATGACCTCCAGTGACCGCGCGTGCTTCCTTACTGGGGCTTCCTTTGTGGAGCTGAGTGTCCTCTGCGTCCACACTCATTTGTCTTTGTTTTCTTACAGGTGTGGGATAAGAGTGAGAGTGGAGATTGGCATTGTACAGCTAGTTGGAAGGTTAGTATTTATTTTTACATGGTTTGAGAAAATTGAAATGTTTGCTATTTTAGTATTAATGATTTGGTATTCAGCTTTGAGAAAATGATAAACCTGATAGTGTTCTTTCCCTGGAAATATAGTTAGTTTTTTTTTTTAAATTATTGTCTTGCTATTAAAGTAATAGTAAATTTGATAATAAGAATATTTGTGGGTCTGGCCAGATATGTATGGGATCTCAGTGCCTTGGTAGGCTGAGGCAGGAGATTACCATGAGTTAGAGGCCAGTCTGGATATAGAGTGAGACCCTGTCTCAAAACAAAACCAAAGAGTGGAAAAATAGTAATCATTCTGAAATAACTACCTCTAGGATTTTAGCATATTTCATGTTTTTTTCCCTTCCTCTAACTGTCCACCCAACTTTATGTTCTTTCTCAAATAAAAACAAACAAACAAAAAATCCATAAAAGCCCCTACAAAATCACAAAAATGAAAATTAAGCAAAAGACTGTAAGATAAAAAAAATACCCAAAAAAAAAAAGCCAAAAAAAGCAAAAGCAGAAATGTCATAAAATGACCATGGAGATCTTTGTGTTGGCCAACTGCTCCTGGGGATGGGGCCTGCCTGAGGTGTGGTTGATAACCGCAGTGAGACTCCTCTGGAGAAAACAGATTTCTCCATTGCTAACAGGTATCAGTTGTAGATAGCATCTTGTTTAGGGGTGGGACCCTGTGTCCAGTTCTTTCTCTCAGCCCCGGGACTCTTCTGGCTTGAACCTCTCTCTGTATGCTCCATAGTGTCTGAGTTCGTATGTGCGTCACTCCTGTTGTGCTAGAAGACACTGTTTCCTTGGTGTCGTCGTCGTCGATCACTTACGGCTGTTTAAATCTTCCTGCCTTCTCTTCGCTGTAGATCCTAGCCTTGAAGGGAGGGTTTTGATGAAAACATCCCATGTAGGGCTGAGTGCTCCAAAGTCTGTCACTTTGTACATTATCCAGTTGGGGCTGTTAATTCTCGACTGCAAAAAGAAGCTTCTCTGATGAGGGCTGAGCTAGGCACTGATCTATGGGCATAGCAGAATGTCATTAGGAGTCATTTTATTGTTACGATCTTTTGTCAGAATAATAGTAGTAAGTGACCTATCTAGTTGTAGATTCTTGGCCATTTTAGCAGTGTCAAGTCAGTCAGAAAGTGGTTGATTTCTTCCACAATATGTTTGCCACTATTGCCACATCTTGCAGGAGGGTCACTTGTAGGTCACACAGTTTGTAGCTGAGTGATCCCAACTATGACTTTCAGGTACTAACATGAGTTTTAAACCATTATCTTACCACTAGTTTCAAAAATTGGTCTAAAGAGGTCCTTATAACTGTCATTGCTTGAGGATCAATCTGTTTTCCTCCTTAGTCTGGTCCTCACAGAATGCTTACTTCTGCTATAGGGTGTAGCCTTGTACTTACTGATAATTGATTGCCCTTTAGTGTCGGTGGTACTTTTCATAATCCAACATGACTACAGGTTCACTGAGGATAGAGATTTCTTTCCATGGTTTCAGCCTTGAAAGGGGGATTGGATGGGCTAGATGCCTTTAAGTGATTTAGCATGCCTATGTAGAGCAACAAGAGCTTGACTTAGCCAGACTAAGGCGGAGATGCCAGTTTTTCCATCCTCTGTTTAGTTGCCTTGTGGACCTGTGATTATTTTTAGCAAAAGCAGTTTCTGAGTATTTGTTATGGGACCATAGTTTGTAGCAGTGCTATTTTCTCCTACCCTCACATGACTATTGCCATCACAAAGCTGAGTTGCCCTGGTGACTTCCAGAATACCCTGGCCCTGTAGTCACAGTAAGGAAATAAGTAGACAGCACAGTGATGGCTGACTCTTTGCTAATAGAGAAGGCTGTAGAGCTCTTAGTAAGCTTTCTTAGAAAGAGATGGGAGAGAGTCATCTGACCTTCCTTTGAAGCTGCCTGTGGTCTTGGGTGTTCCTATATAGACAAGGTAGGAAGGTTGACTGAAGGTGGCTTGCTACAGTGTCAGCTTCTGTGGTCAACCAGGCTGATGGGGACTTGGTGATAGTTATCTTTCTGTGTTAATCCACTCTCATACTCCTGTAAGAAACTCAAGCAAAGTCACTGGTCTGCTCAGTTAGATTTGGATAGAATCCTATTTGGGTAGAATCTGTTGGATAGAATTCTACTGGATTCTCCCTAGGAAGGGTCACACAACACTGTAATAGCTTATATATAGGCCTTTGTATCTGGCTAGTTTCCTGTGGCATATTTTTGAGTTTCATCCATGTTGTGTTTTATGTATTTCTTTATCTTTTCTTTAGACAGGTTCTTACTGTGTAGCCCTGACTGTCCTAGAACTCATCCTTGACCAGACTGGTCTCAAACTCAGAGAGATTCACCTGCCTCTGTCTCTCAAGTGCTGGCATTAATGACATGTGCCACCATACTCAGAGTGTTTGGTTTTTTATATAATGTGTTATTACCATATTACCAAACACATTTTGTTTATTGACTCATCTGCTGAATTCTAGTTTTTCAGTGTAAGAAATGTTTGTGTTTGTTTTCTGCCATTATAGCAAAATACTGGAATTAATTAATTAAATATAACTGGCTCACAGCTTCAGTATATGGTAGGTTAGACTAACTGACCAATTTTTGCTTTGGGTCTGTGGTAGGAATAGGTGGAGGAAAGTCCCCACACATTTTGCAGCTTTGTATCAAAGATAGAAAGTTCATGCTTGCATGGCAAACATTTTACTGACTAAGCTATTCCACAGGTCCCCAGTTTGTTTATTTGAGACAGGGTTTTGCTCTGTAGCCCAGGCTATTCTTGAACTTGCAGTAGTATTTCTGCCTCAGCTTCCCTAATGCTAGAATTAAAGTGTATATCAACATGCCATGTGCAAAGGAAGCCCCTGTCTCGCTTTTTAGTACTGTCCTATGACTTAAAAGAATATTTAGAAACATCCAATAAATATTCTGTGTTGATTAACGGATGGTGATTTAAAAGTTTGTTATTGTCTGTTTGAGATAGCCTGGAGCTTGCAATGCAAATAATCAGACTGTCCTTAAGCTTGTGGCATTGCTTGTGTGTCTGTCTTTCATCTGCTAAAATTGCAAGCACTTGCCACCACGCCTGGGTATGTAATTTAATTTTTGAGACAGGATCTTGCTTTATAGCCCTGGTTGGCCTAGTACTGGCTATGTAGATTAGGCTGGACTTGTTCACAGAGATGCACCTGCCTGGATTAAAGGCATATGCCACCATGCCTAGTTATTTAAATTTTTTAAAAATTGTGGTGACATCTTTGTGCAGACCTTATTCTTAAGTTAAAACAAGAATCTAACATTTGGTTAACCAAATATATAACACAGTGTGTCCTTTAGTTGATAGCTTTTTAAAGTCAGAATTGAGGGTGAAGCTCAGAAGGTTAGACAGATGAGAAGTAGGACCTTTGTTGTGACGTTGTGATCTTGTAGAAGTTACTGGTTTCAGAAGCAATTCTTATATTATTTATTTTCTTATTTATTTATATATTGACAGGATCTCTCTACATAGCCCTGGCTGTTCTGGAAATCACTTTGTAGAATAGGCTTGGCTCAAACTCCAGGGATCCTGCTTGCTTCTCCAGTGCTGGAATTAAAGGCATACACCACCATGCCTGGTTTAAGAAGTCTTATGTTACTGAAAATAGAGGAAGTGTTAGAAATACAGAAGAGTCGTTGGAGTTGTAGCTCTGTTAGTAGAGTGCTTGTCTTACCATGCACAACACTCTGATTTGATTGGCAGTTGTGCAAAAACCAGGTGTGGACACATGCCTGAAATCCTAGCACACACCTGTAACCCAGCTCTGGGGATGTGAAGGCAGGAAGAACAGAAGTTCTGGATCATCCTTAGATACATAAGGAATTCTAAGCCACCCTGGGCTATATGAAAACACATATTAAAACAACAATAGTAAACCTTGAAGTGTGAGATTTTCTAAATGTAATTGGTAGAGTGATTGTCAAAGCATCTAGTGATCTAACAAATTCCTTTGATGTTGAAATACATCAATCCATTTTCTTCTTGACAGCATGAGTGTGTACAGTAGTAACTTCATGTGTCTTATACAATGAAATGCTTCTGAGCTTTAACTTAGATGTATTCCTTGACTTACAATGGGGTTATTTACTAATAAACATAAATTGGGTTGGAAATGATGTAAGTTGAAATGTTTTTACTATATCCAACTTGCCTAGCATCCTGCATCAGTACAGCAGCACACTCTGGATTCTTTGTTGATCCTGACTGATTGGGTGCTGTGGTTCAGTGTAGTTCCCAGCATTGTCAGAAGCTGATATCCAGGTATAGATCAGACTCATGGTTAAAGTACCAGTTTATATCACCCTAAATCTGTGCATCTATGAGACGTAGCCTCATACATCCTGAACCATTTCACTTATTTCTCTGGGTACAAGGGTTTGGGCTTCTTAGATTTGCAACCAATGCCTCTAGCCTTAAAGTAGTTTCTTGTTTGACTTCACATCAGTTTAAATCATTGAACCATTTTGTTGTTACTTTTCTGTTTATTGTTAGCGTTTAAGATTTTATTTATTTTTATTTTAAGAGTTTTATGTGCATCAAGAGCTTGTAGTACCCTCAGGGGCCAGAAGGAGGCATCTGATCACCTGGAAATGGAGTTCAAATTCTTGAGAGCTACCATGTGGGTCCTGAGAACTGGACCCAAATCTTCTGTAAGAGCAGACAGTACTCTAACCTGCTGAGCTGTCACTCCAGCTTTCCATGTTTGCTCTTGAATCAAATAAAATTATGCAATTGTGAGGACCCAAGTTTGGAACCACATAAAATCTGTGTGGGTGGCAGCATGTTCTTGTAATCCCAGAGTGTAATCCAGAGCTGGAGTGGTAGACACTAGAGGATCTACAGGAGCTGTCTGGCGAGCAAGTCTCCCCAGTCAGTGAGCTACAAGTTTAGTGAGAAAGGTTGAGAAAACGTGTGCACACATGCACACATTCCATAGGATAAGAAATCATTTAAAAAGTACCAATTTTAGGGGCTGATGAGATAGCTCAGCAGTCAAGAAGACTGACTGTTCTTCCAGAGGTCTGGAGTTCAATTCCCAGCAACCACATGATGGCTCATGCCATCTACAAAGCGTGTATGATAAAAAAGGAAAAGAAAAGAAAGGAAAAGAAAACAAATTAAAAAAAAAAAAAACCTCCAGAAGTCCACTATCTTAAATATCTTCCAAAATACAAACCACAAGGCTAAAACCATATACTAGCAACTGTATAAAATCTTCCAAAGTTTTTAGAAATTAACTTTTTATTTAAATGTTACATTGCTGTCTTTCTTGTCTTACTGAAGTAAAACTAGTTATGTTCTATTATTTTCGCAAGTAAAATGGAAGTGAGTAAAAACAGCTTTGCTTTTTAAACAGACACATAGTGGATCTGTATGGCGTGTGACGTGGGCCCATCCTGAGTTTGGACAAGTTTTGGCTTCCTGTTCCTTTGACCGAACAGCAGCTGTATGGGAAGAAATAGTAGGAGAATCAAACGATAAACTTCGAGGGCAGAGTCACTGGGTAAGATCAGTTGCTTGCTCCTTCTTTCATATTCTCTCCTGTTGATTTCACGTGGGCTTGGCTCACATTGTTCCAGTGAGGAACCCAGAGGATTCTCTTTGCACCGGATTTTATATATTTGTGAATTGTATATGATTTTATACAGTTGTTAGTATATGGTTTTAGCCTTGTGGTTTGTAGTCATTTTGCAATGCCTGGGATTGATCTCAGGACTTCATGCACTATCACTGAGCTGCACTCCAAGCTTCCCTTCCCTTCGTCTACTTTAAATTCTACGTCGGCCGACATCAGTTGATTTTTACCTGTGTGCTGCTCATGTTTCTCAACCCTAAAGGAGAGAATTAAACTAGATTATAAGACTTTCCACCACTTTTACTGAGGTTTATCGTATGAAGTGTTTTATTTTTTCTTTCAATTTATTTTTCTTAATAAACATACACAATATAAAATTCAAAGCCATAAAAGGATGTGTGCAGTGAGAACTTCCTCTTATCTGGTTCTGCTGTAAGGGTGTCTGGTCTGCAGGTGTTTTATATTGTCTGTGATACAGTCCATTCCTTTACTGATGCCGGAGAGGTTGCAAGCCTTATGTTTACTATTAAAGGACACCATTTTGTTTGATTTACTACTTGCAGCATGCTTTGTATGACAGCTATGTGTATAAAAGTGCTAACATTTCTGGTTTGGTGAGAAGTCTTGTTTAGTGAGATATAGCTAACATAATATATGATGCTTTCAAAAGGCAGACTTTCTTCTCTCTAAAAGGCATAAGTGTTCATTAATTTGTTAAGAGATTGTATATGCAAAGTGCTTCACTGGAATGAGAGACTAAGAGTGACTTTAAGTTTCTTACGCAAGGATGAAAACCTAATAAATGGCAGAGTTGTCTGTGAATCTAAAACATTTGCTCTTCAGATCCATCACATTTCTTTTTGTGTACGGAATTGTATTTTTTCCCCCAGGTGAAGAGGACAACTCTAGTGGACAGCAGAACATCTGTCACTGATGTGAAATTTGCTCCCAAACATATGGGTCTGATGTTAGCAACCTGTTCAGCAGATGGTATAGTAAGAATATACGAGGCTCCAGATGTTATGAATCTCAGCCAGTGGTCTCTACAGCATGAGATCTCATGTAAGCTGTGCTGCAGCTGTATTTCTTGGAACCCTTCCAGGTACGCTCACATCAAACCTCTGGAAATTCTGGTTTAGTATTTCAGATGCTTTTTGTAATTAGATAATATTATCTAGAAGACAGTTTCCACTTTTCTATCTCCATAAAATAGAGGAACCCATTCATCATTATCAATAGTTTGGTGAGAACTTCTGGAAAATTTTATATGTATATAAAAATAAATTAGATTTTTTTTTTTTTTTTTTGAGACAGGGTTTGTCTGTATAGCTCTGGCTGTCCTAGAACTCACTCTGTAGATCAGGCTGGCCTTGAACTCAGAAATCCGCCTGCCTCTGCCTCCCAAGTGCTGGGATTAAAGGCGTGCGCACCACCGTCTGGCAAATTAGAATATTTTTAAGAGACATATCTGTGCAAAACAAGATACATACCCAACCCAAGAAGAAATACTATACTCAGTCATGTATAGAACTCAAACAATTTTCCTCAAGGTTATTTTCCTCACAGAAAAATTATTTGTGGGAATTTCTTCACATTTTATTATATACTTTATTTTAAAACATCCAATTAATGAATCCCTTAAACAATTAATGAACTAATTGGAAAGATCCTCACCAATGCTGGTCATCATGTCTGTCCCTCATTATTCCTGTTTAATGCTCCATGTTGAGTATGACTGTATGACTATGCTGTAGCTGCTTTTAAAAGATTTTAAACAAAGCTATTACTTATTTTATGTGTATATCTGTGAAACACTATGTGTCTGGTGTCCTTGGAGGCATGAAGTGGGTATTGGATCCCTAGAACTGTTGCAGACTGTTGTGAATCACCATGTGGGTGCTTGGAATTGAGCCTGGGTCCTCTGGAGGAGCAATAAGTTATCTTAAGTGCTGAGACATCTTTCCAGCTCCCCTGTTTGCTTTTTATTTATATATTTTAATCACTTGGTAAGAAAGTATGCAAATATCTAGAAGAGTAGAAAACAAAACCAAAAGTTCTCCTTTTCTAAAAGGAAATGCTGTCAGTAGCTTATATTCTAGGTTTTAATTCTGGTATCTACTGTTACATATGTAGATGATTTATTCTGATTGTTCTTGCTTTCTTAGATCTAAACTGTTTATACTCATAGATACCCAAATATGACTAGTATATATTTTATTTGTGTTAATCTTTATAGTTGTTATTTTGGTAATGAAGTTTTAAATTTATCTGTACTTAGTGATTTATTAGTTCTTACATTAAGTGAATCCTCTCTTAAATTTTAAAAACTTAGAAAGTTTTTATGTATATTGGTATTTCTTTATACTGCCATCATGCAGTGTCTGTGAAAGTCAGAAAGGGCATTAGATTCCCTGGAACTGGAGTTACAGACCACTGTGAGCCACCATGTATGTGGGTGCTGGGAATCGAACCCAGGTCTTCTGGAAGAACAGCCAGTGCTCTTAACCTTGTAGCCATCTATATAGTCCCAATGATTCCTCTCTTACAAAGGAGAAAACTAGCCACGTGGTGGTGGCGCACGCCTTTAATCCCAGCACTCCAGAGGCAGAGGCAGGTGAATCTCTGAGTTTGAGGCCAGCCTGGTTTACAGAGTGAGTTCCAGGACAGCCAGGGCTACACAGAGAAATTCTATATTGATAACCTGAGGGAGATGGAGAGGAGAAAGGAGAGGAGACATGGAGAATGAATGAACTTATTTTGCTTCTGTTTCATGTTGAGCCTTTTTTCTGTTCATTTCTGTTACATTGTTATAAGTAAATGATGAATATAACATTTAGGTTCTGTAAATATTTAACATGGATATAGATATTTTGTCTATAGTTGACTCTGATATACTCTCTCATGAAGCTGTCGTTTACATAGAATAATCTCTCTGTACCTTTAGTTATTGCCATAGCTCTTTATAGTTATCTAGTTTTCTAATTATATTAAAGGATCTAATTATGTGATGCTTTAGTAACAAAGCTTTGGTTAACTTTAATAATAAAGAACTACATTTTTCCTGTTGCTCTTTGAAGTAAGAAAAGTCTCTAAGGTATGGCAGGTATTTGGTTTTTTTTTCCCCCCAATGTTAACTGTTGGAACACCCTTGTTTAGAAGTGCTCCTTGAGAAGCAGTTGTGAGGGACAGTGTGTGAGGTTCTCACACACACATGTAGCGTGGCAGGTCTATGGTGGACATCCAGATGTGGTGGTGAGGTCAGGCTGACTTGTAGGTTATTTGTCCCCGTGAGTCCAGTTCTTAAATCCTGTTACTCCAGCAGTTTGTTGCATTACGTAAGTGTTTCCCTTCCTTTCTAGCTCTCGTGCTCATCCCCCCATGATTGCTGTGGGAAGTGATGACAGCAGTCCAAATTCAATGGCCAAGGTTCAGATTTTTGAATACAATGAAAATACCAGGTCAGTACTGCTTGTTCAGAATTGTGTTTACGGCTTAAATGATTGTCCTTTATTATCTACATTATACATGTTTCATTGTTACTGGTTTCCTGAGAGATACCAAGTTCTGTGCTATGCTTTCATTTGTAGTTAGTGTGTCCTCCTCCTCCCCTCCCCCCAAGATAGAGTTTCTCTGTAGCCCTGGCTGTCATGGAGCTCCCTCTGTAGATCAGGCTGACCTTGAACTCACAGAGATCTACCTGCCTCAAAGATCTACCTGCCTCTGCCTCCTGAGTGTTGGAATTCATGGTGTGTGCCACCACAGCCTAGCCTGTTTTTTTTTTTTTTTTTTGTTTGTTTGTTTGTTTTTTTGAGACAGGGTTTCTCTGTGTAGTTCTGGCTGTCCTGGAACTCACTCTGTAGACCAGGCTGGCCTCGAACTCAGAAATCTGCCTGCCTCTGCCTCCCAAGCCTACCCTGTTTTTTGCTTTTTTAAAAAAGATTTATTTTCTGAGTCTTTTGCCTGCGTTATTTCTGTGTGTGTGCCATGTGCATGCCTAGTCCCATGTCTTAAGTGGGGGCATCGGATCCTCTGGAATGGGTTGGGTTGGGAGTTGTGGATGGGTGTGGGTGCTGGGAATAAAGACCAGGCCTATTGCAGGGGCAAGAGTGCTCTCCACTCACAGCTGCCTCTCTAGCTTTTTGAGACAGTCTCATGTTACTCTGGTTGGTCTTGAAGGAGAGTTCATTCCATTTGCCCACTTCAGCCTTTTGAGTAGTTGGTGCTTAAGGGATGCACCCAGTTTGTGAAGAGGAAACTGAAGAAGAGACAGTAACTGGTATCTCAACGTGGATCACCTCGTTGAGAAAGTGGAACATAACACTAAGGAGTGGGACAGACTTTCTGAACTAAAAGAATCAGCATGCTGAGAGTTTTCTACCCCGGGAAACCTGGTTTGAGGATTAGGTCAGGAATGGTAACTTAGACTAGAACCTGCAGGGTGAGTAGAAGTTAGCTAGACAGAGGCAGAAAGCCTTCCACGTGAATAAGACTGGATCCAATAAGATGGGAACAAGACCTCGTCAGCCCTCCGCTTGTAACAGAACAGGAAGATGGGATGTGAAGACAGGCAGCGCAGGAGCCTGTCACTGCTGTAGTGTCTGTCGTCTTACTAGTCATGTGGATTTGAGTACAGAGCCAGACGGTAGTAGTTTAGCTAGCTCTTCATAGGTGTGATCAGTATTTTAGAAGGGAGCATGAGTGGTTGTTAAAGCCATCTAGTTGAGAGATGACAGTGGCTTTGGCAAAAAGTAGGGACAATGAGAAAGGGGAAGATAGCAAGGTAATGCAGGTATATGATGCATTTATCTCATGCTTAGGAAGTCTGAACACAAAAGCAGGGTAAAAAGTTTTGACACTAGCTGGGCAGTGGTAGCGGATGCCTTTAATCCCAGCACTTAGGATGCAGAGGCAGGTGGATTTCTGGGTTGGAGGCCAGCCTGGTCTACAGAGTGAGTTCCAGGAGAGCCAGGACTACACAGAGAAATCCTGTCTCAAAAAACTAAAAGAAAAAAAAAAAGTTTTGACACTAACAGCACAGGCTGGCCAGGAACTCAATGATCTTTCTTGTCTACTTTCTAAATGCTGATGTCACAAGTGTATGCCATCAGCCAGCTCCCCCTTCCTTCCCTCCTTCCTGCCTGAGACAGACTTGCAGTGTGTGTGTGGCCTTTATTGACCTAGAATTCACTATATAGACTAGGCTGAATTCATACGGTTCTTCCTCCCTATGGAGTTTTGGGATTAAAGGCATGTTAGACTCTTTTAAAATGTTTCTTCTATCTATCTATCTATCTATCTATCTATCTATCTATCTATCTATCTATCTATCTGTTTTGTTTTGTTTTTCAAGACAGGGTTTCTCTGTGTAGCCCTGGCTGTCCTGGAATTCACTCTGTAGACCAGGCTGGCCTCGAACTCAGAAGTCTACCTGCCTTTGCCTCCCGTGCGCCACCACTGCCCAGCTTTCTTTTATTTTTATATGTATGTAGGTGTTAAGATTTTATTTATTTTATGTATATGAGTACACTGTTACTGTCTTCAGACATATCAGAAAAGGGCACTAGACCCCATTACAGATGGTTTTGAGTCGCCATGTAGTTGCTGGGAATTGAACTCATGACCTCTGGAAAAGCAGCTTAACTGCTTTTCTTAACTGCTGAGCCATCTCTTCAGCCCAAACCCAGACTTTATTTTAGCTAAGTTTTGATTAAGTATTTTAAGATATGCTTGAATTTTTTTTTTTTTTCTCGAGACAGAGTTTCTCTGTGTAGCCCTGGCTGTCCTGGAACTCACTCTGTAGACCAGGCTGGCCTCAAACTCAGAAATCCACCTGCCTCTGCCTCCCAAGTGCTGGGATTAAAGGCGTGTGCCACCACCTCCCAGCTGATATGCTTGAATTGTAAAGGAGCAGACTGGACCTTATTTTGGTTCTTGGGCTAGTCCAGTGGAACTTTTTTTTTGTTTTTATGGACAGGACTGGTGATCTGTCAGTGGAGGCCAGAGATCTGAAATCCAGTTGTTGGTTTGGCTGAGCTCTTAGGCAGTCTTTGCTGGCTCCTCCAGCTTTGGAGGCCAGGCTCCTGGGCTGTGGCAGCCACTCTAGCCGCCTTCCCTGCTTTGTGGTTTTCAGTCTGTTTTTTCTTAGAAACATTTTCTCTGCGTAACCCTGGCTGTCCTGGGAACTTAATTCTGTAGACTAGGCTGTCCTCAAACTCGGAGATCCACCTACCACTGCCACCCTAATGCTGGGATTAAAAGTGTGGGCTACCACTGCCATTTATTCTGTTTTGTCTTATCTAAGGGCATTGAACTTTAGGGTCAGTCTTACCCTAGTGAAAATAAGGAATAGATAAATAAACATTTTCTTTTTGGAATGGGGTTACATTTGTAGGCTTCAGTTTGGGCCTAGTAGTTAGTCATTTGGGGGTCACTATTGAGTGTCCCCCCAAAAGGCAAACATTTGCTGAGAGGAGTATGAAAAACATTGAGATATGTCGATGAACTTTTTCATGTTTTTGACATTTAAAAAACATTAGTTGCTGGGCGGTGGTGGCACACACCTTTGATCCCAGCACTTGGGAGTCAGAGGCAGGTGGATTTCTGAGTTTGAATCCAGCCTGGTCTACAGAGTGAGTTCCAGGACAGCCAGGGCTACACAGAGAAACCCTGTCTCGAAAAACAAAAAGTAAGTAAGTTATTCATTTATTTTGAAACGAGGGTCTCCATACATAGTCCTGGCTGGCCTGGAGCTCACAGAAGATTTTCCTGCCTCTATCTCCACAGTGCTGGACTTAAGGTAGTATGTCACCAAGCTTGGCTCAAACTTTTTATTTTAATGATTTATGTTTGTTCATGTACATATGTCTGCATGAGTGTATATATGCCACCTATGTGCCGATACCTGCAGAGGCCAGAGAGGAACATTTAGATCCCTTGAAATTGGAGTTACAGGCAGGTGTGAACACCTGAAGTAGGTGCTGAGCACCAACTGTGGTATTCAGGATACAGCAAGTGCTCTTAACCCCTGGGTCTCTCCAGCCCTAATTTTTTTAAGTTTTATTTCTGAAAGTTTTAATTCCTTTTTCCTTGAATTAGGAAATATGCGAAAGCTGAGACTCTTATGACAGTCACGGATCCTGTCCATGATATTGCGTTTGCTCCAAATTTGGGAAGATCTTTCCATATCCTGGCAATAGCAACCAAAGATGTAAGAATTTTCACATTAAAACCTGTGAGGTGAGTTGTAGAAAAATGAGGAATTTAAAAGTACTCTTTCCTTCTGCTTTTCTTTTTTTTTTCTTTTTTTTAATTAAAGATTTATTTATTGATGAGTACACTGTAGCTGTCTTCAGACACACCAGAAGAGGGCATCAAATCTCATTATGGGTGGTTGTGAGCCGCCATGTGGTTGCTGGGATTTGAACTCAGGACCTCTGGAAGAGCAGTCAGTGCTCTTAACCGCTGAGCCATCTCTCCAGCCCTCTGTTTTTCTTCCTTTGTAGAGAACAGTAAAGTCACAGTATGCAGACAGTCCTCTCCGGAATGTTTTATGTGGCTTTTTGGAGTGGGGATTTAATTTGAATTGTTTCAGTTCCTTGTTTCTATGCTTCCTTTTAGCTACTCTATCTTGTAAAATTGTTACATGTGTTGGATTCTGAACCTTGTTTCAGAGAACAGTGTGCTCATTTCATTTGTGTCTTCTTCAAAAAAAGAGGCACTGAGTATCATCTGTGGGGTGAAGTAAGCCCAGGTTTTAGAGAAGTCAAATGAAATGATGTTTATGTAGCTCGAAGGCTGAGTAGTGGATAGTGGGCAGGGCACATAAGTGCACATTAGGAAAGAATATGGTAAGCATATTTATTTGTATTTCTTCAAATGTGTGTTTATGTATGAGAGTGTATATACACACAAGACACTTTTTGAAGACGTTGTTCATCTTTTTTTAGAAAAGAACTTACTTCTTCTGGTGGTCCAACAAAATTTGAAATCCATATTGTGGCTCAGTTTGATAATCATAATTCTCAGGTCTGGAGGGTGAGCTGGAACATAACAGGAACAGTACTAGCATCTTCAGGAGATGACGGCTGTGTTAGGTTGTGGAAAGGTAAGGGTTTTACTAGAGGGGTACTTGTTCCTTATTTTACCTTTCACTTAAGTATAAATTCCAAAATGTATTTAAAGAATTGGTTTTAATATTGTTTAAATAATTGTCTAATATTTGTACTATTTTGAAATATCAGATTACCTAGTTGATAGAAATTAGTGGCCAATTGAATTGCTTTATGTCTATGTGGAAGAAAGCCAGTTTTAAAACTAATTAGAACATGGGGTGTGTCTAGGGAAAGCTAATGTGGGTAACTGCTTTATTAAACCCTGGAGAGGCCTCCATTGGTCTTTGGTAAAAGTATTTGCCTCCCATGACTAAGGACATGAGTGAGTGTCTGCAGTCCCCTGCTCCTTTAGGGAACTGGAGCAGAGAGAGGCGACTTCTAAGAAGCTCAGGGTCCTTAATCTGGTAAACAGGGAAAGAAACCAGTAAAGTCCTTATCTTAAATTAAACAAGGTGGAAATAGGAGCTGAGAGCTGAAATTCACCTCTATAAGAGTGCTGTGGCACACATGCACCCAACGCATGCATGCTTTCTGTCTCTGTCTGTCTCACTCTCTCACTCACTCAGATTTTAAATCCATCATCTTTTCTGATTGTGAGTTTCTTGTGCCACACTGAGGGAACTTGGTCTAATCAGTTGACACTGCCTTTGATGTCTGTAGCATCACCGTGGTTGACTCTATTCTGATTATCAGCTATAGAACTGCAGTGGGTCATTTGCCCTGAGCAGTTCTTGCTTCATAAAATGCAGTTTGGATAAGCCTTGATGGCCTCCCTTGTTTAGTATTATGGTGTGTTCTGTAGGCCCAGCCCAGACTTTCCTTTCCTCAATTTGATTTTAATGACTTCGCTGTCCTTTTTTGTTTCTAAGCTTAAAGTAGGAGAGCCTAGTTGTTTCCCATTAGGCTCTTTAACTTTGATTTACTGACTTCAGTGACTAGTTTTGCATTCAAAGAATGAGACCATGTTGGATGAACCACTAAACTGCTGTGCAGAGGTTTTCTTATCAATACATATCTCTGACCATAATCTACACAGTGCCCACGTAATGAGCACATGCCCATGTAATGAGCACAGCCAAGAAGACCATTCCAATCCTTATTTAGATTCATTGTAAGAAAGACAAAGAATTTGGGTTTATTTCCTTTAAAAGATTGTGTTTTGATATTAACTTGTATTTGTAGAGGTGAAAGGACCCCCTTGGGTATTGTTCTTCAGTTATGACTCACCTTTGTGTTTGAGACAAGGCCTTCCTTGCCTGGAAACTTACCAAGTAGCTAGCCTGGCTGGTCAGCTGTTGAGCCTCAGGGATTTGTCTGTCCCTGATAGTCTGTTGTTGCTGGGATCACAAGGGCACCTGGTGGATTCTGTCGCTGACTGGTCCACATGGCTGCAAGTCAAGCACTTCACTGAGTGAATTATTATCCCAGCCCGGATATTAACTTCTTTATCTTTGAGATTAGATAATTGTCTCTGAAAGAAGGGAAATAGATAGTAAAAACTTTCATGTTTTTTTAAACAAGTAATTGTTTTTGATATAGGATCTTATTCTGTAGCTTAGGCTGGTCTGGAACTCACTGTGTAGTCAAGGGTTGGCCCCAAACTCAGACCAATTCTTCTGCCTCAAGTATGAGTCAACATGGGTGGTTTAAATTAGTAGTTCTTTGAGAACCTTAATGTATTTTATCTAAAAATTGCACTTACTGCTAACCTAGAAGTAAATGTAGCTTGCTGGAGCTGTGGAGATGGCTCAGTTGGTAAAGAGCTTGCTGTGAAAGCACGAGGACCTGAGTGCAGATCTCCAGCACCGATGCGAAACCCAGGTCTATCAGTGTGCACTTGTAATCCTAGCTCAAGGGAGCCTTAAGCCGGAAGGCTTTTGTAGCTCCCTGGACAGCTGGTGTAGCCAAATCGGTGAACTCTAGGTTCAGAGAGAGACCTTACCTCAAAAACTAAGATGGAGAGTCCAAGGGGAAGACAGCCAGTATCAACATCTGGCTTCCACATGCATGTTTGTGCACACATGCATATGCACATGCATGGGATTACAGGCATACATTATACACAAATATTTTTAGAAATGTAGCCCATACCTTGTTTCATTTCTTATAGCTTTAGGAGAAGAGTACAGATATATGTATTTATATGAATAGATATTAGTCATATTAATACATTTGGCTGTTTTTCTTTCAGCTAATTACATGGACAATTGGAAATGTACTGGTATTTTGAAAGGTAACGGGAGCCCAGTAAATGGGAGTTCTCAGCTGGGAAACTCAAATCCTTCACTGAGCTCAAATATTCCAAATCTTCAAAATTCATTAAATGGAACTTCTGCTGGCAGGTAGGCTCTTCTGTGGGAAAACTAGAAAGTTCACCTCCTGCCCCCACACACTTTTTACATGTATTGGCGTTTTGCCTGCTTGTATATCTGTGCACCACAATGTGTGCAGTGTTTGGGAAGGCCAAAGAGTAAAGTGTTTTGGAACTGGATGCATGTGAGCCACCCTGTGGGTGCTAGGAATCAAACCTGGGTCCTTTGCAAGAGCAGCCAGTGCTCTTAATTGCTGAGTTGCCGCTCCTGGTAGCCATACTAAAAGGTGAATTTTAAGATGGAATAAAGTAATTCACCAATAATTGTGACACTTACTCTTGGAATTTCATTCTTGTCTGTCTTTAGTGGCTTACTTGGTTATAGTATGGACAGTTTTTAAGTCCATTGAATTATATTCTGAAATTCAGTGGTCAGTAAAAATATTAGCTTTATTATTTTTTTTAAATTTTATTTGTTTATTTTTTTTTGGTTTTTCCAGACAGGGTTTCTCTGTGTAGCCCTGGCTGTCCTGGAACTCACTCTGTAGACCAGGCTAGCCTTGAACTCTCGAACTCAGAAATCTGCCTGCTTCTGCCTCCCAAGTGCTGGGATTAAAGACGTGCGCCACCACCGGCCGGCTAAATGTTAGCTTTATGATTCTGTTCTTTTCTGCAGCAGTGAAAGGAGATGTGGTTTACTAGGGTTGACTCTTAGATAAACACTTGAGTTTTTTTTTAGTGCCTGTTGGGTGGGCCTTGTATCAGGTCACGTTGAAATTTTTTTTTTGGTTTGTTTTTTTGTTTTTTTTGAGACAGAGTTTCTCTGTATAGCCCTGGCTCTTCTGGAACTCACTCTGTAGACCAGGCTGGCCTCAAACTAAGAAATCTGCCTGCCTCTGCCTCCCAAGTGCTGGGATTAAAGGCGTGCGCCACCACTGCCCAGTTCACGTTGAAATTTTAAATAAAGTACATAACTACAGCTTTGTGAGACCAGTGAGTGAAATGACTTGTCTTTTGTGTGTATAATAACTAAGAGAAAATGGTAAAATGTGAGATCTTGAAATTTAGGCTATTCTGCATACATTTAAAACAAAACTTGACATAATCTAGAGTCAGTTTTTTTCATTCAAATTTCAAATATGTAAATTTGTAATATAAAAATTTAAAAATACGTTGTTGGGCATAATTTGGAGTAGAAGTTTGGAAACTTCAAAGTGCCACCTTAAAATGGCTCTGTGGCTACCCTATTGTCATCCTAAGCAGAAGAAGAACATAGATTTAAATTTTCTATTGTTTTGATACTACTGTGTTCTTTTAATAAAGAAATTTTGCTGTTTGATTTTGAGGTTTTAAGTATTTGCAACTGTGGAAACTGTTTCCAGTTACGGAGAAGAACAAATTATTTTATGAAGGAAAGCATATTAGAGTTAATTTTTAAAATCTGGTTTTAGGTCATAGCTTTAGTACTGTTATTTTCTTCCATAAATAGCTTTGATCTGTTTTCTTATTGTGCCATAACCATCTATGTTAGATCTGTGATGCATTCTCCCTTTTCCATTTGTGTTGTGTCCTTTAACAGAAAGCACAGCTGAGTACAAGCTAGCTGGAGTAACTTTGCTGTTTTGCTGCTTGTTGCATGCACACAGGAATGGAAATCAACTCCTTTTCCCCTTCCCCAGCGTGTTTGATCTCTTCCAAGATGCACCAGCAGCCTGTTCACTACTACACACAGTCCAAAAGGCCTTTAAAGTGACAGTGTATATAACTTGTACTAGTCAGTCTCCTGATACTATAAATGGAAAGGCTTTTTGTTGACACATCATCACCAAAACAATTTTTTGGGATGTTCTGGAGACTAACTTGGGTTTAAAAACTGAAAACATTGCTATTATCCTCATAAGCAGTTGGGAGGAGGGAAAATATGATTTTTTTCCATGTGGAGAATATAGGAATATGTGTTTTATTTTCTAAAACAATAAGCTAAAATGATGAGTTTTTATAATTTTAATTTGAAAATCGAATAAATATTTTCATAAAGATTGTTTTGAGTGGTAATGTGTTTACCTTTTGTAGAATTGCTCTATAGGTGATATTATCCACACAACTACTTTATAGGTGATATTATCCACACAACTACTTTATAGGTGATATTATCCACACAACTACTTTACAGGTGATATTATCCACAC